TATAACACTAGAGCATTACAAGAATTATTTCAAATATTTGTGAATGTTAATAGTGATAAAATACCCCATAAATCAAAGACAACACTTGAAGGGATTTGAGATACTCAAAGAGTTCTTCCAGCCATGCTCACCCAAAATTTAATACTTAAGCAATTAAATGAAGAACTTCTTACACAAGTACTTATCTATTATACATGATAAGATGGATCATAAAAAAACATCTTTACCAAGGCTTGAGTCTATACTGAAAGATTGTAATCAAGCATATCCTCTTTCTTTATCAGATTATTACCACTTAATCACAGATTTGGTGCATATGGGTATTTTTTTGTTCTACAATGGCTTGATGATCCAAACTTAACAATTGGTTCATTATAAAATTTTTTACTACATTAAAGCATAGAGAAAAAGGAATAATTATAAAAGGGTAAAAGTTGCATAATGCTTTATTAGTCATCAACTTCAAGAAGAGCCAAAATTTCTAAATAGTCTAAATACTTTGACTTTAGCTTCAAATTTAAGACCTCGTGCACTCTTTCAACAGTCACAACTACTAATGCACTAAGTTTACCACCAAATCCTTTATTACAACCTGATAATTGTAGATTGAAAAACAAAAATCAATAATTATTTACATATTTGTCCCTACTTGTGTCATATTGTCAAGGAATTTTCAAAAAAATAATGGGGTGCAATCCTAAACACATGGGTTATGATTTATAATTTAAACTTCAATGGTTTATAAGGGTTTATAAAACCTACTATACACCATTTATATATGTAACATTGTGAGGGCCAAGTGTACAGCTATGATGCTGTATACTAATATTAGCGTTTGGTAGCCATCAGATTGGTTTCAATCCGGACTTCACTCCTGCATATAAGCTAGGGTTTTTGGGCTATTTGATGCACATTTTTCGTATTTCCTTTCCATATTCCAAGCACTCACATTGGTGGAGGTAAGGGGCATCTTTGATTGTCCCTAAGGAGTGCTTGAATTTTGGGATTTTAATTTAAATCTAGCTTTTGCATCCTTTAGATCTAGCTTTTTCCATTTCCTTTCTTTTGTTCTTCCCTTTCAGGATTTTGGTTTAGATCTAGCTTTTTGCATTGTTTAGATCTTCCATTACCTTCTTGTTTTTTGTCGTTTCTCTTCTTTTGCTCTTTCTTCATCCATCTTCATGGCAGATTAGCAATCTCCTCCTTTGACTCTGGAGCAGCAATTGGTACAATTGCTTGATGCTATGCGCTTACAATTGAACAACCAAACTCAGTTGATGGCAGCATTCACAGCATGTAGTACAATTCCTCCTACTCTTGGTGCTAATCCTCATGTTCGGCCGGAGTTCTTTCATGGGAATCCTAGGGATGATGTGTACCATTGGTTCGATCACTTCACGGTGATTGCCACATATCATTCTTGGGATGATGCTCGATGTTTGCGTGAGTTTCCCACGTGTTTTCAAGGGATGGTGTTGCAATGGTACAATAATCTAAGCACAGCCACTCATGGGGATTAGAGTGTTCTCCCGGACATCTTCAAACGCACCTTCGGACATGCCGACGATTGTGATGATGCCTTTCAACAATTGCATCATCTTCGCCAAGGGCCATTTGAGTCGGTGATGCAATTTAGCGTTTGTTTCCGAAGTCTTTTGTTTCATGTGGAGCCCAATATGTCGGAGCGGATCAAGCTAGAAATGTTGTGGCCAGCACTAGAAATGTTATGGCCAGCACGAGTGTGCCTAGTCAGCATCATCCCATTGCATATATAAGCCGTACGTTACAACCAGCATAAGTGAACTACTCCACCACAGAGAAGGAGTGTTTAGCGGCAGTTTGGGGTTTCGAGAAACTTCATGCATATTTACATGGTTCTCAAACGTTACTTGAAGGTGACCATGCTACCGTTACTTCATTATTGAAGCGAAAGAACCTGGTTGGTCATACTGCTCGGTGGGCTTTGAAGCTTCAAATATATGATTTTGATGTTGTTCATCGCCCAAGGAGATCTATGGCTGATGTTGATGCCCTTTCTCAAGCTCTTCTTCCTTCTCCACTCTCTTCTCATGTTTCTGATGAGCCTATTGTTCTAGCATCTATGAATTTTCTAGACAAGGATTTTGTGCCGTCGACGATTGCTGTATTTGACGTTCAATGTCCACAAGGCACAAAGCAAGATCTACCTTCTCTTGATAAGGTTCGCGAGGCTCAAAAGATTGAGCCCTGGATTCGAAGGGTTTGAGATGTGTTTGAGAATCCTGCATCATTTGCTAATGACTTGCTTTTCCAGCATTTACATTCTCCCTTGAAGATGGCCTTTTTTATTTTGTAGGGACGGATCCTGATGATCATTTACGACTGGTGGTGCCTTCTGTCTTTATTCCATGGTTTCTCCATGCCTACCATGATTCTCCTGTTCTAGGTGGGCATATGGGACATTGTCGTGTGACCGAGAAGCTGCGCAGGTCTTTTTATTGGCTAGAGATGAGACGTGATGTTATCCAGTATGTGCATAGCTATGTTTGGTGCCAAGCTCGTAATACTCCCCTTTGTGCTACGAAAGGACGGTTGGAGTCAATTGCAGTTTCCCATCCGTTTGAGTTGGTGGTGTTTGATCTTATGGGACCTTTTCCACGGTTGATTGTTAGCAATAAGTATGTTATTATTGCTTTTGACTACTTGATTCGTTGGGTGGAAGTTGGTGCTCTTGCTAGTGCCTCTGCAACTACTGTTGGATACTTCCTCCTCAATTGAGTAGTGTTCTAGCATTTTTATCCAGAGCGGATTCTTTCGGATAATGGTCCTGCATTTATAGCTGAGGCATTTCATGTTTTGACATCTCAGTTGGGGATACGCCACACTTTCACGAGTGCTTATCATCCACAATCAGACGGTCTGATGGAATGGCTTGTTCAGAGATTCAAAGGGATGATTGTGAAGTATGTGAACTTTTAGCATTCGGATTGGGATGGTTATTTGCCGTCTCTTCAATATGCCTATGTCATAGGGGTGTAGAGTTCTATTGGTGCTTCACCATATAAACTTTTATATGGTCATGATCCAATATTACCAACGGAGCTGAGTTTACCTTCACGATTGCCACGAGCTCCCGATGCTAAGTCGTGGGATCAATATTTGACAAGCATTCTTCCATTTGTCCGAGCAGAGTCTGCCGAACACTTAGGTTGTGTACAAGTGGGACAACAACGGCGCTACAACTCCCATCATCGTCCACCTATGGAGTACAAAGTGGATGATTTGGTGTTAGTCCGTTTTCCCATCTTACGGTATGTGGTTTATCTAAGGGGCTCCTTGTGCAATGGAAAGGACTGTATCGGGTGTTGTGGCAAGTTGAACCGCAAGTTTATGAGGTTCGGCATGACATCTAGCAAGCCGATCCTCCGGAGATTGTGCATGTGCAGCGGTTAAAACGCTTCATACAAAGGGATCAAGAGCAGTTAATACCATCTATAGATCCACCAATGCCTCCTCCTGACATTCCTCCAGATCTCGGCCCGTCTACAAGAGAACCTGACGGGATTCTATTATTCTGAGAGAAGGGGATGATGTGAGGGCCAAGTGTATGGCTACGATGCCATATACTAATACTAGCGTAATGAGATTTTGGTAGCTGTTAGATTAATTTCAATCAGGACCACTCGCTCTTGTATATAAGCTAGGGTTTTTAGGCTAATTAATGCACATTTTCTATATTCCCTTTCCATATTCCAAGCACTCACAACATAAATAATATTTAAATAAACAAGCAAACCAGATTATTTTTAATTCTAAACTCACAAGTTACCTTAATATTTAAATAAACAAGCAAACCAGATTATTTTTAATTCTAAACTCTCAAGTTACCTGTTGTGAGCACATGAGCTCAAAGTGGTTCGAGCTTCTGTCTGTGCTCAATGATGTATTTCCGTAGAGCACCTAGCTCAGGATCATTGGACTGTAGGATTATCACCATGTCTTTCAGCTTTGTGCGGGCAAGTGTTTCCGTGAAGAGGTGCTTTATCTTCAAAGATGCGAAATCTAGCAAGTATCTGGCACCCTTGACAAGAGGCCGCTTGAAGTGAAGCAACAACCATGATATGTCATCAGACGTCGCCTCTGAAAGGATAGCCCGATAAACTTTAGGTAAGTCCGTATTGGAGAGACTGGTCTGAATCTTCCTTTCACAGGCTCGATCATTCAGATCGCCAACCTCTGCATCACGAAGTAGACGAGGAATCCCACCGTACCAGTCGTAGTACAAGTCAGCTGCTTTGATGCGTGCATCCAACCGATCTGCCTCATCCAGAAGAGCCACCCGTGGAGACCACTCTTCCGAATACGTCTTCCACCGGCGGTCACTCGGCTCGCTCGTCTTCAGCAGTCTATCAGCTTCTTCCCGCATTTCCTTGCTCTCAAGCTCCCACAGGCCTAGCAACGCCTCAAACTCGTCCTTATCCCAAGGGTGAACGAAGAACTTGCTTTTGACCCCTATTGGCTTCGCGCTCTTGATGTTTCTACGACCCGGGGATGCTGCTACCAATATCCTTTTGCCCAGCGGATCTCCACTCTCAATTTTCTGGTCGATGAGGTGAACCACACATTGCTGCAATCGACTCAAGGGGTAATCCGTCTTCTCATGGATGGATACCTGGCCTAAGGACGTGAATTCCCAGATAAAGTCCGCGGACTGGTAGACGACGACGAAGCTGGTGTTCTCAATGGTCATCTCAATGCCGAACCGGATGAGGAAGTACCAGAGGAATGCCGACTTTCCGACGCCAGGATTCCCGTTGAGGAGCCCTAACCAATCCATAGACACTGCAGCTTCTATGGCCGAGTAGAGATCATCGAAATCCTTGCGCACAAACAGCCTTGTA